TGATTTGATTGGTAATAAATTAATTTTTCCCCAAGTCAAGTCAGTTTTGCCCATGATAGTAACTGGTGAGTGCTGAGGAGCCTGTGTCTGAATGGGAACGCTTTAAAGCATGGAGGGACATTTATGGCGTGTGAAGGGACTCCATTTCATGGACTTGCTCGTTTATACCTGGTTTTAGGCACCGTTTGATGTACTTTCCCCACTTGGCTGTATTAATTACATTTGTTTGTATGGACTTGCCCGGGCTTGCCCAGAGCTGTCTTCCCACCAAAAGCTGTTTATCCTCTCACTTTCCCGCTCATCCTGCATTGATTAGCTGAGAAGTACTGCAGTGCGGGGTGAGTCCCCATTGGTTCCTAATGCCCAACTCCTCCCACGTTCCTCCTCCTTTCCTGTGTTCCCCTAGCCTGTTTTACCCTGAGATGCCAATCTCATGTTCCTCCCCTGTTACCAAGCCCCCCTGAACCAGACCCTATATAAGTCCCTGCTCTACCTCAATAAATGGCCATTGCACCCCGACCTTCCATCTTGTCGTACTCCTCTGTGCAGTGTTGCGGTCCTACTCCCCCACCCACCAGACTGTGGCAGGTGAGTGATCTCTCCCTGCCCTTACCTTCACTGATGAGCCTTTTGTTATATTTTCTCTCCCCTGTCCAGGTGAGGAGAGGACTGACAGAGCAGCTTTGCTGGGTACCTGGCATACAGCCAAGGTCAATCCACCACAAGGAACTTCAAGAAACACAGGAAGTTAGTATCTTTCACTACTCTATGTTTTAGTGATTACTACATAAGCTGTATCTGTCTAAGAAATTTAAATTTAGGATTTCCTAAATAGTGGCTTCCCTTGTTATTGAGAAGAGATGTTATTAATCAGGTGAGTTCCAGTGTTTTGCCAGCTTTCACAAGTCCAGCACACGTATCGTCAGCAAGATGTCATACGTCTTTTTAATTAAGAAAAAAAATGACCCTGATGCTGCCAAAAAAATAAAATCCTGCACATTTTCCTATGTAACAATTAATCTAAGAAACTATTTAATAAAGACTATTTAATAAACTATTAATAAAAATTAATACAAATTTAATAAACACATGGCTTGTGGCTGTGAAACCATCCACTGAGTGTGTATATGTATGCTCTGATTTGGAAACACGAGTTAATCAGAATGGCACCCTGTGCTATGCTTGCTGCTGTCCTCTGCAGTGATGTTTGCAAGCAAGAAGAGAACAAAAGAGAAATATGTTTGGTTTTGTAGTGTGGAAATAAAGGTCAAGCAAATTTTTAAACAGCAACTCTTTTTTTACCTGCCTCTGTGTGTTCCTGACCACTCAGCACCTGGAATAGACATGCCTGAAGTTTGAGGAAGCTCCTTTTTCTGCTGTGGCACAATTCCAAACGTCACAGAAACATTACAAAGCATACTGTATTTTGGAGAAAGTTATTGAATGTACAATGAGATAATGCAACCTCCCCCCCATAAAAAGAAGTTTGGCGTCTGTCACATCAGGTCATACCTAGTGAAACAGCTGGAGACAAAAATCAAAATGGATACTTTCCCTCCAAGCTTCCCAGCCCTGAGTACCTTTCCTCAGTCTGGTTCAACCTCCACTTGTCCTACTAATCTAATTTTTAATTGGTCCTTGAACTCTGTCTTAGCATGTTGAACTCATAAAGCAATATGGCTACTCTTAGTAATTCCTTTGAGCTTGTACATCTATAATTCCTTACATTTAAACTGTTGATAAAATCTGAGGCTAAGACTGGATCCAGCTGCACCCAGGCTCCTCTCTGAGAAGGAGTTTAGAAAGCAAGGGAATCCTTTCTGCACCTCATGACTCAGTGGCAGGGCTTCTTTAATAAACTTTGCCTAAAAGCCTTCCACTCCCCCCATGATGGGCCACACTTTGCATTCATGGTGTCTCATTTGCTTTGTAGCAAACACTCCTGTAACTTGACTCGTGGGGATGACTGTGAATGTGTCTGGTATAGAAATGCAGAGGCTCTTGGTTGAGAAGATGCTTTTCTTTAAGAGGATCTTGATTGTTAAGTGATCTTTTTCCTGCATAATATGTGAATGTTTCTGTGGAGTCAAGTTCATTCCAACATTTGGGCAATTCTCCAAATAACTTATTCTATGTCTGCCACCACTGAATTTGAACATATAAACTTGATATTTGATACTTGACACACACACTTGTGAAAAATCTTCCTGAACATACCTGAAAGCCTTCCTTTGCAGCAAAACATTGGCAGTGCTAATTAACAACATGCCACAGCCTACCTGGATTCTATAGTACCTGGACATAATGTTAAAATGTTAAACAGAATGGTTACAGTTGTACATCAATCCACAGAATTTAAAATGCATCACTGAGGCTGGGAAACGGTTTGCAAACACTCCTCACTCCAGCTCACAGAGCAGAGCAACGAGTTTAAGATGAATCACACACTACTTCATTTCAGGAAGCACAGAGCTTTTGCTCTGACATTCATTCCTCCATAACTGCATCACTGTATTGGAATTAAACACAACAATCTTCCATCTGACATGAGGAAGGTCATGTCATCAGCACAGTCTCCATTTATAGCAGATATATTGTTTACTGATTTACTCTTATAATGCAGCTCTTGCGCAAATGAATCTCACAGTTAAAAACAAGACATACGAAAAATGTAAAAGGAACACTGTGTCTATCTCTGAGATTAAAGATCAGTCTGAAACAGTCCTCTATATGCGAACTTCACACAATTGTGGGACATTTTGAATCAACTTCTCTTTGCAATTTCTTAATGAAAACCAATCATATTTTTACAAAATACTTAAGAATTAGTTGAATCAAAGAAGAAATGTGTGAAAATAGCTAACTATCTGGTGGTTACAGATGTTCTTGTGGCAGGATACTCGAAATAATTATTTGCCAGGCAAATTAATGTAAGACATGGCATCAACACATGGCACTCATCCTACAACAATTCCACAGGCCATAGATGTAACACTCTAAGAAAAAGTAAATTGTAGTTTCAGATTCACTCAAGTAGCCACAAAAATTGAACCAGTATGGTTGTTTGGCTTTTTCACTGACTTTGTAACAGTTTGCAAGTCCACCACCTTATCAAGTTTTGCGAATAAATCTGGTAAATTGAACTGTCTAGCTAACTTGTCCTCAGTTAAATAAGTTTTAGGATGACTGAATCTATAGCTACAGTAAAAACTGTTGAAGCAGAAACCTTTCCCAAGGTGACAGTGGTGATTCTGACATAATAAACCCCACTCCTTTCTGTTTTTCCCTTCCACCTCCATGATTTTTCTCCCTTTTTTTTAGGAGAAAAACAGCAGTCTTTTTAAAACATACATCTATTAAATTCTTCCAATGGGAAGGTACTCCTATTTGGCAATCATCATTAAAGACTATTTTTTTTCTTTTAACACTAGTAAGAAAGGACAGGGATCCTAATGTCATTATTATATTGATGAGATGGATCCAGAGATATGACTGAAATGAGACCAAATGTGACACAGCTGCCTCCAAAAAAAATTTGTCAGTTGAACAAAACACACTGGGACAATCTGGTATCTCAATTTCCAGTTGTGTTACCATGGTTTCTATACAAAGTCTGGAGAGCACTACAAGTATATTCTTTGTGATGATAAATAAAAGGAGTATTTGAAATAGGATAATAAAATCATGGGTTCAGAGACCATTATGACAGCTACAGGTAACTACTTACATTTGCCTCTGAAACAATCTAAACAGACAGAAGGTAAATCAATATATTCTAAATATATGGTCTAGCTATTGGGTTTTCCCTGCCTTCTTGTTTTATTTTGCTGAGGTATAAAAATGATTTGGAGAAATATGAGAGTAAGCCGGTTAATGCAAAACATTTTGCTGTTCTTTGTAACTCCTGTAAAGGCAGCCTGGAAGCCCAGTGTTGGCTCACACTGTATGGTTTGCCTCAGCACTGTTGTTTTAATTGCTGTTGAAACTCATATTCAGCAAGATGTATGATATTAGTGTCATGGCTGACACACTGAATTTATTTACAGAGCTTTAAACTGACAGAATCTGGAAGTACCTGAAGGTAAATTTGAATTCTAATTTCAGTTCCAAGCTATATTCAAATGTTTGACTCAGTTCATCTATGTCATGAAATTCTATCAAATCATTGGAAAACTTTGCATGTAGAGACTGTGAGGCAAAGTGCTTGTGTCTTTGGGTATACTGGAACAAAATTAACTCAGTTTTCAAAACTAGACATGTTAGTCCTCATCAAAGTAATACAAATGCCTGTTTTACATGCAGAAAGTAACAAGACTTTTGAGATGTAACTGATTTGAATACACATGTCTACATAGAGGATATGAGGGTATACTATGGCTTGTTGTACTTAACCTGAGCACTTGACAATTCCCCATGTGTCATTATAATAATTTAAATGCAATTAAAAAAAATCTGCTCTTGAACAGTTGGCCTGCAGCTAACAGCTCACAGTAGCTGAGCTGCTCTAGTGATCCACTGCTACTGAAAGGGGTCTTTCTTCCTATGACTTTCTCTTTCCATTTCCATACATTTCTCTGAGCTGACTCCATGGGACCCTATCCCCAGAGAGGATTAAACTTGTTGATTTGGGCAGAAAATTATGTCCTTTTCTTTTTTGCCGTAATAGTTCTCTCTTGGCTTATTTATACTCAATGCTTGAGTATAAAGTAAACACAGCACCTGAGAGAAGGTAAATGGAGAAGACTTGATGAAAGGAACAAGGTAGGACTTTGATGGTGGCAAACTACCACATTTTTGGAGGGAATTGCACTCAGTGTGATTTTTGTATGGCTTCTGTACCATATGTTTATGGCATAATTCTTTGTGAAACTATTGGGAGTTTCTAACAAAAAAAACCATTGTATTAAATTAATTTTAGTTAAAAGACAAAGCCAGTATGAATTAAAGCATCATTATAACATCAGAAATGAAGTATTCTGTAAGGTGACTTGATGACTTACCTTAAAGGAGATTTCATACTGCTCTCCTCCCCATATTTCTAATCCTGGATCATAGCCTCCCAGCTCCCAGAACCATTTCCGATTAACAGCAAATAGACCTCCAGCCATTACAGGAGACCTGAAGGATGAATAAAGCAACACAAGCAATAATGATGATGTTTGGACCACGTGTGCATGTGCCTCTGTGTGTGTTTGAGTGAAAGTTTTTTGAACTGTGGAGCTATGGCAGGCATAGACAAACAGTAGTGTAACCAAACAACATCTCTATTCACCCCAGAATGGTCTCTAGATGAGAAATAGGCAATATGATAGATCTTGAGCATGATAGACAGTCATGCACAAACTCCTTGTATTTAAAAAAAAAAAAAAAGTTCTGTTCATTACTAAATAAACCCATGTAACAGAGAAAGAAAGGGACTCTGGAAACCTGCCAAAATGCTTAATGATCTCAGTACTCCATGAGAAGTAACTTGCATCTGAAGGGTAGCAAAAGTTTTCAATTCATTTCAGTCTCATAGGTGCTGGTGAGACAAAGGCAGAAACGTGACAGAACATGGCTACAGAGCAGCAGTTGGGAGTTAAACATCTGCTTTTCTAAGCATTTAAAACTCCTCATGTGTGTCTCACAGTGGTAATTTAACTTATAGGCAAATAATTTGCTGTGTTTCCTATGTTTCCATTTATTCCATGAATAAACACGTGGAATTTACTTTAACTCAGTCTTTCACAGACAATATAGAAAACAAATGAGATATTTAAAGTTAGTGTTAGAAAATATTGACGAAAAGTGCACTGTAAATTTATAAGCAGGAATTTTGTACTGGAAAATAAGCATTTTCTCTTTTTTTTTTCATTACCAAGAAACTCATGTTTCTAATGCAGTAAATACACCAATAGCTCTCAGGATTCAAATGTTGCTCACTGATTTCTTGAAATTGTGGTGGGAGGGGAATACAAAGGAATCTACACTGAACAGGAGGGAAACAGCAGGCTGAAGAGAGTCCAAGCCAACTATGCAATTCAATCAATGCAGCCTTACGAGTTTTAGAGCAAGAGGCTAGAAGGAACATATTCATGCTGATGGCTGATCAGAGGGAGAAAAGACAGTACATGGAGACCTGGATGGCTTCCAGGCAATGCTTCCTTACCAGAGAATAGACATGAAACTGGATCCTATGCCATGTGCCTTCTAACACTGAAGTCCCAAGGGAAAATTATTCCATCATGGGGCATTTTTGTTTTGAATTACTATTGGTCATTCGTTTGGGGCTATGGAAGCAGATGGTATCATCCCTGAAGACCTGACTGGAAAATAAAAACTTCCCCCTTTGCCACTGATTTAAGATTTGGCAGTGAACTCAACACTCGTAGGTATTTCAGGAATCCATGTATAAGTTACAAGTTTATTAAGAGGACATCATGTTAATGGAACATTCGGCCATACTATCTCTGCCTGAACACTTTTTTATGTTGCTGTCTTTTATCCAAGCCAGTGGAGACAATAAAACAGCAAGTAGACAGGTGAGTAGTCTCTGCCACCGTTAGGAGACCAGTGAATCCTCATGCCTGAATGATAGAAAATGATCCTCTCATTTGAATTCACAGTAAAGAGAAACATCATGGATATTTTTCCTTTCACTTCTATGAGGTAGTTTAAAAAAAAATAAAAAAAAAATTATACTTCCCATTTTCAGGACTAGGGAGCTCTAACAGACTAATTGCATTTTCCTTAAGAGATTATATTTTTAAAAGCACATAGAAGCTTTCTGAAACAAAGCTTTGTGAAAAAAATATTCAGACTGGCAAGGCTTTGCCAGTTTGTCACATACACTGAATGCTAATACTTTTTTACTTTTACTGACATTTCATATCTCAAATATTGACTGTATTTCCATATATGAATACATTCAATGGAGATTTTATTAGAAACCTTCCCCTGGGGATTCTGACTACTACAATACATTTTCAATTTCTACCGAAGTAAATCTAATTACAACAATGTCCTTTGTGACTTCAGGTTCTAAATAATCAAAACACAATGTACTTTTATAAAGATGGACTTGCATGGAGAATGCTTATAACTAAATTGCTACTGGCAGAAGAAATGTAGTCCCAGAAATCCCTGGGAAAATGTAGGATTACTCTAATTCTCACAGATACAATATCTTTCCTGAGCATTTCTTTTAACGTAGTGAATGGCCTATAAAAAAGGTAATCAATGCAGGTGAATCAGATGGAAGATAAAAGAAATCAGACTTAAAATTGCAAAATAATTGGCAAACACTTACAAATTATATTTGAATCTACAGATCTTTCCAGTGATAAATAATGAATAAAGAAACCCCTTGTTAATTAGATGTGAAAGTTCAAAACATTTATTACAACTAACAAAACTACCCAATGACTGGAACAGTAGCAAACTCATAGTTTTTCCACTTCCTTAATAAAAAAAAAAAAAAAAAGAAGAAATTGAATGTAATTGCCCCATTAATTCATATTCCACAAGATGATCTGACATTTGTTGTTTTGTAGGAATAGTGATGGAGAGGAAAACCAGGATGGCCCTTTGGTTTTCATTGGAATGGGATGAGTAATAAGCTGTGTGAAAGTGAGTGGTTGGCACAGTATGTGTATTGCACTCCATGCCACAAGCAGCTACTGCTGAACAGGCCTTAAATTATCTCCAAAATATGAAGATGAGTCCAGTCTTGCAATCATGATTTATATAAAAAGTCTTTATGTAGTTAATAGGATCACTTACATAGATAAACGAACTGCACTGAGCCCAAAGGAAAGGAATTAATCTCTTATTTAATGGCTTCTGTATAGAAATGTCAAGCTATGTTTGTAGAAGTAATTTTTCCATGAAATGTCCAACTCAGGTGCTTAAATAATCAGACCTGAGCTACAGTAGCATAATATTATGTGAGTAATTACAGTGGGAAGCTGTAAAATGCTTATAGTCTAAAACTTAGAAGGACAAAGACTCCCCAAACATCAGGGAAGCTGGAAGGTTGCTAAACTTAGAAAATAGTTATAAAAACCTTCCACATGAGAACTACTGCACAGACTCACTGATGATACCTAAAAGAACAATATTAGAAGTAAAAGCTAGTTGATCCAAAAATGTCCCAAGCGGTCAAAGACTGCTGAGCTGAGACAGAAAACGAGTTTGATTTAGTGAGAGTGCCAAAAAGAAAAAAAAAAAGGCCAAGAAAATTGTTTTGCAAAAAAAGATAGACTGAGAAAAAGGCAGGCAAATGCTTAATGTGAAAAGACAGCTCAGAAACAAATTAAAAAAGTGCACTAAAAGAAGTGTAGCAGTAGCTCAAACTGTAGCCAGCAAAGAATTTTATAACTGCTTGCAATTTAAATGGAGAGGCAGGAAAGAGATAATCTCACCTATGAATTTTCAAGGTAAGAGAAAAATGACATGGATTTAAAAGGAGTGTGAAGTTACTTGCATTAGAAACAACTGTGATATATTGCAAACAAGTGAACTGCATAGCAGGTTTTGGAATCACTGCAAGAGTGATATATACAGTGGAGCTAAAGGATTTGTGAGAAGGGAAGAGAAACTTTGACAGCACATGGAAAGAAAATGAGGGAAATGAAAATGGGAAAGCATTTGTGCAGTAGGTACATGTGCAGTAGGTACAAATCACCTGAAACTTGGCTGAAATTTGGCCACTGTAATTGTATACACTGAATGGCATATTGCATTATGCCTCTCTCTGTATCATCCAGACTGACTAAAGGCTCTGTATTGAACTACTAAACAGAAAAGGATGAATGCTGGAAAGAGGAGCCCACCTCATGCAGGATACATTGGACAAACTGACCTTCAGTGCCAAACCCACTGACATGTTGTATAAATACTGAGGCAAATAGCCCACAACAGGAATCAGGACCAGATCCTGTTGACCTTGTGGAGACAGGGATGTAATGGACAAGGAGGAAGGGGGCCATGTTGCTGCTGGCACAGCAGCAGTCACAGAAATGACTGGTGACCTCCTGAATGCAGCTTTGAGCTAGGCTTCTGCACTTTTTAAAATGAATTTCAAGGTCTTGTTAAACAAGAAGAGTGTTCCTTCACCCTAGTGATACCGTATGAAGGCACCTCAGGAGAGGGCATAAATTCAAGTCACCTTATTTCACTGGTGACTGCTCCAGGTGCTCTCTGCAGCGATTCCTGATAGCAAACAGCAGAAACTGATACTAATCCTAGATAATAAAAGTTCTAATAAAACCAAAAATTAAAATCTGTGTAGGGTTAATGTAAGAGACAGACTTGTCCACTCGAAACAAGTGAATGCAGAAATTAAACAAACAAATTAAGATGAGTTAATCAAATGGCAAGAAAGTTATATATATTAATAAAATAAATGACAAAAATGTGAACTTAGAGGTTGCTCTAGCTAAAGATAAAGACAGATTCTATACAGTGCACAAAAAAAGACGGTGATGTAGCTGGAATGAATATGGATAAGACTTACTGAATTTCTCAAGAAGTAAAAAAAAAAGTGGAATATTTTATATACTTAATTGTCTAATCAAATATAATTAAAATGTATGGACTATTTTACATTTAATATTTCTGTAAGACATTGTTTTATCTTTTATCTATTCTAACAACATGAGTCATCTCCATGTTTATAAAACCACCAAGACTTAGAAAGTAAAACTTGTATCTGTGACATTAGCCTATGGAAGTTACTCTTTCTTTTTTTCCTCAAGTATCCAGTTTTCTGAACAATGTTTACTCTACATGAATTTGTGCCCCTGTCCGTACCAAACAGTCACACAGGTTTTGAAACCACTGCATTCCTGATCATCATTATCTCCCTAGAGTCTAGAAGCAGCACCTCACAATATACATCAGATCAACCATGTAAGGAAAAGGCCTATATGTAACAAAAAGGTCTATCTTAAAGTTGGTTTGCTCCCCATAACTGCCTCCACCCAGTTCGTTCACTGTACATTCAGAGTTGTCACCACAGTACACTGTAAATTGCCAGCTGATGTTTCTCCAGTTAATGTCTGTAACTCTGAAGTCCCGACTATTTATAGTAATGGACACCAGAAATTTTCATGAAGCAAACTGAACCCACTCTCACA